TGAATCGTTCTCGTGGTACAAAAAATAAAGACGTGAATTTTTCCTTTCAGTGGTCCGAAATTTGAAAACAACGTATGTACGCTGAATTCGAATACAATGTACACCATTAAGGGCTACCCTGGAGGAGTCGTACCCCAAAATTGGTTGCCCAACGTACGTCCGTTGTTTTCGAGTACCAGCGGCTAGACGGTCAGACACCCTGCAACTTTACTATAGCTTTGCATTGACACCCTTTATTGAATGACTAGGACAGGTGGGAGGTGGTCATCAGTGGCCACCAAGCTTGAAAATACCACTCTTTCATCTATGGGTATCTAACTGCCAAACAAATTGGTTTGGTAGGTACCCCATACATTGTATTTGTATGCAACGACGTACGTACGCTTTTTTTCGAGGTAAGAAGGTAGCACCGTTGAGTTTTCTATCATCGGCAACAGCAAGCGACAACCATGATCGCTGGAGGCTGCGCCGATCGGTCGGTGCAATTTTGTTTCATATCCGACCCCTACGTTGTATTCGTACACAACAACAATGTACGTTCTTTTTTTGGCGGGGTAAGAAGGTAGCACAGTTGAGGCAGAGAGCTCAACGGCGAGTTTCCTATCATCGGCAACAGCAAGTGACAACCGTGATCGCTGGAGGCTGCGCCGATCGGTCGGTGCAATTTTTATTTCATATCCAATGGAAAACAGAAAAGGCGGGCTGCAATTACTCTGAAACTTCTCAATGTAAGTACTAAATCGCCATTTTTCACGCCGTTTGTCGTTTAGGCGCTCCACTTTGAGTGGGGCAGCTAGCTCAACGCTTTCTGCCAAGGGCACATGCTCATGAGGGGCCGGCCCTTCGATTGCATGAAGAAGCGTCTTTCTCTGTTGATTTGTCGTCATTGTCTGATGGTTGGTGTCAGGGCAAAATCGGTATGCTCGGGATCAGGGCGATATCGTTATGCTCTTGATTTCCAATCCTTCTGTTCCTTACCACGGGTGTCGGCACAGGCACAGTACCTTCTTTGAAGTTCTTTCCCTTGTAAAGGTCTGCATCCGCATCTTCCGCAGGATTGTGGTTCCATACATCCTTAGTCTTACGTCTTTCAAATTTTCACATGCTATGGTTTGCTCATCATGACGATGCCTTGAGACGAGGCATGTACGGCGTCAGATACTGTGCCGCTGACGTCGTGTTCAAACGCAAAAATGTAACCACCTCGATTAAATAAATCAAATTTCTCTTCTCACAACGATCGATTAATGAATGGAAGCCAGAGAGTGTCACCCCGTCGAGCTCGCTGAACTCGACGGTTGCTAGGGGGACAAAACCCCAGGTGGTCGGTTAAGCAAGGCCCAGCCATGACGCAAGGTGAGCCATGATGTTTTTCGAGATCTGGAAATGGGAAAAGAACCAGCACGGAAAAGCCAACCCAGGACACAAAAAAGCATACAAAAATACCACAAATGGGGCCAATCCTGGGAAAAGCCTCCAGTAGCCATCCAAGGTAGAATTTCTTCATTTCATTATTATTATAAAGTAAACTTTGTTTTGAACCCTTCGTTAAGGCAATTCAGGTATCGATATTAGGTGCTATCAATTTCATTACAACCTTTTTTTTTAAGGCCCATTACAACTGATTTTAACATGCGTGGCCCAGGAACGAGCATGCATAGATTACCTCCATTTGTTTGGTCTGTGGGATCACCGGGAAATTGGAGACGATCGGGCTTGTACCGATAACTTCATATGTGCAAAACATGCGGTCTACCACTTGAACTGCGCCCCCAACTTAATCCGAGTACCCCAACTTAATCCACCAGTTTGTAATCAAGGGAAGCCTCCCCAAAATGAACACGCAAGCAGCAGCCTCAATGCACTGAAAATGGTGCACTGCAGAATTAGTCACGAAAAGCGCCCAACGATGTCCCAGAATAAGCAACGAGTTATCAGAATCGAGAAAAAGGTAGAGAAACAATGGAGAGAGAGAGAGAGAGAGGGTAGATAGCTTCATTAAAAATCAATAAAAAAAGCAATTGAAACGCGGCGGTTTCAACCTCTCCAGACTCTCCCCACCACCCTCACGACCTCAGCGTGCAACCTCCCCCCTGCCACACTGATGAAGTCTCTCCACAGGTACCAGAAACTCCACTCCTCCAGGACCTTCTCCAGCCATCACACGGCACAATCGATCACGACTTAGAAAGACATCACGTCCACCAACTGTCTCAGCAAAACCTCCACACTAACAGAAAACAACCATTAGCTCCCACCTCATATTTTCATCATCTTCATGCCATAGGTCCGTAGAAGAACACCATACAGCGCCCCACCACACAGGTCACCTGCGCAGAGCAAGCAAGCATACCTTCCTCATTTTCGTGCATCAATCTGTTGACGGTCACCACACAACGCCTATCCAAACAGGTCACCTGTGCAGAGCAAGCAAGCATACCTTCATAATCTTCGTGCATCAGTCCGTTGAAGGACACCATACAACGCCTAACCAAACAGGTCGCCTGTACACAGCAAGCACGCCCCCGACTGCAAGAAAGCAGCTGCACCTGCTGCGTGCTGTGAGATTCCGGATCATCATTATGCTCTGCGAGCACGTGAACGTTTTCGGCATCTTTCACATTCTTTTCTTTTGTCACAAAAGATGCTAGGAGCATGATTAAACTGCGTTGATTACTTTCTTCCACACTATTTCAGGATATAATGATTATTCCAGAGAGGCGATGGTAAGGTACCCAACCTTGTACCATTGGCCAGTCCGGGCACATCTGCGCAAGCAACAACTTGGCAGAGCCATGGTAACTAACAGTGGAAATGATACTGAGACTCTGAGAGTAAGTGAGTGCAAGCGACATTTGCTTCCCCCGAGGCCCAAACGAGTCCATGCCCAACCACTCTGCATGTTCATCCATGATATTAGGTTTTTTGAAGTTTTTTTTCCCCCACAGTGATTTGTGTGTAATCCGTGCACAAGGGCTGTGCTAACCTTCTCTGTATCATTCCAATTTTCATGAATGACCCCAAGGATTTAAGGGCAAACTTTGCCTGCTTTCCCGCACTTATGATGGCTCAGCACAGCCGAAGCACTTTGGGAGGCTTCGCTATGTTGCTTCTACTTTCACGTTAATTTTTTATTGAAGCAAGATTTTTTGTGCTATTTGTATGTACCAGCGTCCATTTCTTTCATCCTCTCCCCATCTCCCTTCTCTCCTTTTTCCTTCCCTTTCTCCCACCCATCACCTTCTCAATACTGTGTGTCTATGGTCGTGGTCGATTGCATTACTTTGTCACCCTGTTCGAGCTTCGAGTCGGCATATTGGCTGTTTTCGACTCGTTCTCTGCTCTGCTCTCCTGCTGTTTCCTCGTTAATTTCCTTTGAACATGCATGCTTCAAAGACGGACAATGGAAACCCACATTCGCGTTCAATTCTATTCCTTGAAACGAGACCTGTGTTCATTTTATACTTTCGGAGGGAGATAGGGCTGGGAAATGCCACTAACATTGGGTTTTGAATAGCAGCAATTTCACACAGCTCATGCGAGGTTGAGTTGCAGCTCAGAGTAGCTGTGGAAGGAGGAGGGTATTTTTTAGCACTGTTACTACCTTCTTCCCCCGAATACAACGTACGGTCATTATAGCTGTGTATTTGAGGCATCTTTCAGTCTAGATACAGCTATAATGACCGTACGTACGTTGTATTCGGGGGAAGAAGGTAGTCTATTAGCCAATCAGCCATCAGAACAGGCCCAACAGGGGGCTTTGATCATTGGTGTGTGTGCAGGTATGCTGGCTGAAAGAGGGTTGCTGTGTTCCTCCTCACCCTTTGAAAGCGGCGTGATGCTTGCAGCGCAGCAACAGCTGCTCTTTGAAGCTTTGCGATAAGCAGTGTGTGTGCACTTTTCAGCGGTGCTTTGAAGAAAAGTGTACTTAACTCACTGCCTCACAGCGAAACGTGCAAAGGCCGCACAACAGTAGGAGAGGCAAAAAGGATGGCAGCAAAAACAAGTGCATAATTTGCTAGGTAGTATCTCGGTAGATATTTCGCCAGCCTGGGTACCGAAGTGGTGCCCGTCGCCCGAAGACATTCCCGGATGACCAGCCAAGAGCGGTGTGGGGCTGTGGGGAGCTCCCAATGCGAAGTTGAAAAAAAAAAAAAAAAAAAAAAGTTGCCCAGCCTTATTTCGGGCCCGGTGGCCGTCCCGAAGTGCGGGGTGGTGGCAGTGCCAAAAAAAAAAGCACAAAATTGTGGGGGCCCTACTGGCGCATTGCTTTTCTTAAAAAAACGGCCAAGCTTGGGGGCTGTCAATCTACAACAATGAACTGCCACGATTCAACAATTGGCCGTTCCCAAATCTTAGCATTTGCACAGAACTACCGACTCCCGCCACTGCAGTCAAGCTCCGCCAACCTCCGGCTCTCTGCCACTCCAATCGAGCATATTGCACTCCGCCCCGCCCCCCAATCACGCAACACCATTGCCAGGAGCTTCACCATCACGAGGAGCTGCGCCATCACATGACCTGTACAATTGTGGGGCTACATGCTTCCCGGCCATGACGAGGAGCTGTGCATCTGTGCATCATGTGACCTGACCCACAGCTGCCTCCACCTCAATCATCATCTTCTTCTTCTTCTTCTTCTTCTTCTTCTTCTTCTTCTTCTTCTTCTTCGTCTTCTTCTTTTCCTCCTCTTCCTCCTCGTGCTCCTCCTCCTCCTTGCGCCATCGTGTCCTCCTCCTCGGTCTCTGTCTTCTTCTTCTTCTTCGTGTCCTGTGTGTGGTGTATGTGCTGCATATGTGCTGTGTGTGCAGTGTACATGCTGTGTGTGCTGTCACCTGGATCTTCCCTGCCTTTCTCCCCCCAACCGCTCACCAAACCCCAGCAACAACAAAATAAAAAGCCTGGATTTGGTCTTTTCTTGGCAAGCACAGAAGACCCCTGCTGCCGAAAAAAAGAAAACAGAAAACATAAGAAAACATACTGGACTTGTTCTCATGCCCGGCTGCCCTGGGCGCGAGCGAGACCCTACTGGGCACCCAAATCTTCCCAGACATTTTGTATTTCTTTACCAAAATATGAAGGGCTTGAGATTCCAAAACTTCTGTGAATTATTTCAAAACAAGATCACTTCTTAAAAGGCCCAGATACTGCTATAGCTTATTCTTTCTCTCTCTCTCTCTCTCTCTCTCTCTCTCTCTCTCTCTCTCTCTCTCTCTCTCTCTCTCTCTCTCTCCCTCGTCCTCTTCCCCCCCCATCACCACCACCACCACCACCACCACCACCACCACCATGACCATATTATATGTAGTCTTTGCTGTTGTTGTGCCATGCAGTATTGCCTGGCTTGAGACTTCTCACTCGCCTCACAGGATGTCAAGAAGCACTGTGACCTCAGGACAAGGCCATGTGAGATCGATCACAATACCGATAGATGTCTTAAGAGCGGAAATGCCAACTTCACCATTTGATAGAACAGAATCGTAGCAACATGGTTCTACCACCCATGCACAGAAGCCCCTCTCAGCCCGACAACTTTGTGGACAGACAGACAATACCACATATGCTCCGTGTCCACAATGATCAACAAATGGCAGGCACCACGCAGAGGCGTAACAAAGTCCGAAGGTCGAGATGACCTCACATCTGATGCGCGCAGGGCATCCTAGCCCTAGAGTGCCTACGCGGTAATCAAAATCATCCTCGACTATACATATCTAGGATTATAACACAAGAAAGCTACCTCCACAATATTACAACAGAATGACCAAACGTAGTGCGAGAATGGATAAATTCGCAGCCTGGGACTTAACCCTCTCAGCTGCTGGCACCATTCGAGAATGAGACGCAGAGAAAGGACGTCTTGCACTCGCCACATTTTCGGATATTGTTGTCGTCTGGGCCTTTTCCGGAGTGTGAAGTGAAGTGCCAACCCCCGAGGAACCGGCAGCGGTCCGCTCCACAAAAGGAATGATGTGATGTGACTGATCCATGCATGGACTTGGTACAAGTTGTTGCAAGGCCTTGCATGAAAAAGTTGTCTGCCCTCACATTTTCTGATTCTTATGCACAATAACCGACCCCCATACTTCATGTTGGAATCAATTCGGAAGTTCACGAAAACACATGACTTCGTTTTCTGACATGCAGGTCCTGCAGGGCCTGCACTGAAAAAAACGTGCAGAACTTGGCACAGAAATCTGCGACCCCAGCCATTGCAGAGCTTAACAATGTGAGAGAACCTGATCCTTGCAGACCCATTGCACAACCCGACCTTGGCAACAAGCGACCCTGATACTTCAGGGCTGTACTTTCGCTTTTTTCACCAATAAGTCAAACAGGGAAACCATCCCGTCGCTTTAGCAGTCTGTTCACGAATTGCCCGATCAGGTGCAAGCTGACTTACCTTTCTGATCAGTACACAACCAAACCTGCATCTACCTTTCGGTCCATTACAATAACGTTTCAATTGCTGTTTAAGCTTCTGCACTGCACTGCACTGCACTGCACTGCACTCTCACCCCCACCCCTCCTCCTGACGCTGCTGTCTCTCTGTCAGGCCATTCTCCGAAAGCTGACAACACTTAAAGAGAGTATAAAGAGCTATGTGGCAATTCTAATGATTGGTTCCCCACCAAGGACAATATCAAGCTTGCTTCTCCCGTCTCAGAGACCCTCAGCCATAGGATGCCACTTAGTTCCCTGCTGCACCCCGCAAGCAATGCATCAAAGACCACATCATCGAGGCAAATCAGTCAGGCACACACAAGTCTGTACTGCAAAGCATTCTCCGAGGGAAGATGCTGTCATCGACAGACCTAGATGCAGCAAGACATTCTTCCAGCACAGTCCTGTGCACACACACCTGTAGCAGCAGCACAACGCACAACGCACAACACCGACAACGAGTCGGAGAGGGTGACCTGATGTTTTCGGCCTTCCACCTGGACATTAATACGGAGAGGGCCCGAGTGTCAACTGCATTCATTCATCATCACCATTCAGTCCTGCCACCCTCGCAACTGGGTGCTTCATTCCACCCCAAGGACCAACAAGAGCTGGCTCTGGTCCAGTGGTGGCAAGAATGTAGCGCAGCAATTAGCACAGTGCATATCACCATCCGCATCGGGTCCTTGTGCAGCGTACGCAAAACAAATATTTTTTCATTATCTCCTGCTTCCCGTCAAGGTGCTGCTTGCTCAAAGTGCTTCCATATCCCCCCCACGCCAACCACCACCACCACCACCACCACCACCACCACAATTACTTGCCCTCCATCTTAGGAAAACAACACCATACTAGCCAATGTTGTGCATCATGTGCTCATTAAGACGAGCCGTCTGGAGCGGTTGCTGCTACTGGACTTCGCTTCTATCTGCGGGTTGCCTCAAAAGAAGGATACAGATTGCTAGGAAGGCCAGCACCAGACCCGCCCACCCTTGTCGTCAATGCCTGCTGGAGTGTTGGCACAGACAATGGGCGACAGCAATAAGCAATGCAAAGCAACAAACAACAAATGTCATCACTCTCGTAATTGAATCACGTCAACAGAATTGCACATACTTCAAAACTGAGCTTTAGCGGGAGAGCCTTCAGATCAACTATGGTAGTGCATAATATTTAATCAGAATATCTACTGCAATACTCTTAATCTATTGTAATGACTGGCAAAATCGCAGACCGCAGACTGAGAACTCTGCTGTTTTCTGAGTTTTGCCGCTGGATTGTGTGACTTGCTGAGATTCCCGCATTCTGCTGAGATTGTGTGTGCATGCTTGCTGAGTTTCCGTGTGTTCATCTGATTGCACGATTGCTTGGGTGTGCGGCCCACCAGGGTACCTCCTGTATGCTTGAAAGGCCCTCGGCTTGCCAGAGTACCTGAATGCTGGAAAGGCCCTTGGGCCTGGTACTTACATGTGGCTGTGCTTTGTGCGGTTGCAGCGGGAGCTAGAAGTAGGCTAGGGCGCCGTTGGTAGGAAAACCGCTGAATTAGCGGGTAGGTCGTCAGAAGAAGACAAAAAGTGCGTACCTTTAGAGGCCGAAGAAATTTGAGATTCTGGAAGGGTCTAGGGGTACCAGTCCTGCGGTTTGACTCTGGGGCCGGCAATGAGGGATATCGGACTGCAATGATGTTTGCCTCCAACAGGAGGAACGCGCCCTTAGCTTGGGAGGCCGAGCGGCCTGGAAACTCACCACCCAAGGAGGCAGCAGTCCAGTATATCTTCAGGACGAGCGGAGAGCTCTTCCTCGTTTTGCAGTATACGAGTTTGGCATCATCTGGGCTATGGTGGAGTGGACCAACTCCGGGGAGTAGGAGGAGGAGGAAGACGGTGGGCAAGGAGGAGAGTGATGGGGGTGCTTACCTGGCTATGGTGGTCTGCATCTATCTTCTTGGTTGGCGCTGCATCCATCAAGGAGGAGAGTGATGGGGGTGCTTACCTGATTATGGTTGGCTCCATCAAGGAAGTGTTGGGCATGGCGAACATTATAAGAGGGACACATTGTCTTTGCATTATCCTTTGAACATTGGAGCAGGGATTCACTAGTCCGCCATAGCCATCTACCTAGGCAAGTAGGAAGGAGGTGTATGACATGGCTATGGTGGACCTCGTGAGTTGCTCGCAGTAATTCTCATACATTGATGGAGTCCATCATAGATTGATGGAGTCCACCATAAACAATGAAAGCTCCTTGATTCAGACATTGCTTATGGTTCATTCTTTCATTGTTAGTATTGTGATTATCGAACAGAAGAAGTTGGGAGAGTTCAAGGAGCTTGGAGATGATGGCAAGTTGGAGAGGGATTTGACATTGGTCTTTGCTGGTGTACATCTTCCTCTTCTTCTTCTATTTCCATTCTTATTTCTTCTTCCTCCTTTGTCTATTTCTCTTTCCGAGTTCATTCATTTCAGTTTGAATTGAACGACATTGTCTTTCTTTCAGTTATTCCGCTTCGAGATAGCCAGGATCATAACGATTTGTGTCAGAGTGCCACTTAATTGCTGGCGAGAGGATGTCTTGTTGCACTAACCCTAATCCAAGGTAATTAGGGCAAAGTTAACCTCGGATTAGGGTAGGTTTATGTTGGAAGTGGGGTGAAGAGATATGTCGGAGCTGCTCCCACCTGGTCTAGGGCACGTAGGGTCGACATTGTTCCTGACCAGGTTGACCGAGTGAATGTATGGGGTGGGGAGACAAAAGAGGTGTCAATATGTATGGAGAGAGGAGAGAGTGACTGGTGACTCACACCTGGACTAAGCTTGAGGAGGACATTGCGTGACTACAAGGGTTCTTTCCAAGAGGCCGAACTTGGTGATGGAGTAGCACGGTTGCACCATATGACTTCAACATCGACGTGGGATGCAGCGGTGTACATTAGACCCTCCGAGATCACTAGGTACACTAGAGTAGGGGTTGCTAGCTCAATCAGGAGGACACATGAGAGAGGGGGGGAAGAGTTATTTCTCATCTCAAGAGTTGTGGCCACACAGGCGAGAGCCGTGTAACTGGGGGATGCCTATGGATGAGTGCATGCCGCTGCATGGCCTGATGGGGTATGGTAAACTTCTTTTCCTACTCTCTGTGATCTTGGCTGATGTGGATGCGCTTGTGGACTGCTCTCTCACCTGATGGATGGATGGATGGATGGATGGGAGTACATTGCTTATCTTTCTACAGTGCTTTCATCTTTTCATTCCGAAATTGGTTGTAGCTGGGTAAGGTACCATCTGTACTTGTCTTTTCCTTTCAGTACCTCAGCGGTAGGATTGGGATGCATAGTCTTGTTCTCTTTCTCCCAGAGTAAAGGCTCCTTCCCTTTGGGAAGAGAGATTAGAGTTGCCGGTCTACTTGTGGGCATGCGTACCCAGTGGGACCCTAACCCGGTGAGAGAGGAAGTTACTTGCTGCCTTTTCTTGTGCTGCATCAGGCAGCTCTCTGACTTGCTGGAAGGCAGAGGCACCAGACGCATGCTCAATCAAATAAGAGCAATGCAGTCTGACCGAAGGACCAGCAAAGTCATGATAAGGACTCAGACATACAATGCATCATCAAGCGAGCAACATACATCCACACAATCGCGAGAGACATACAGCGCAACCTCAAGAAAGCAATGTGTGTCCATAGGATCATGAAATAAGGCAATGTAGCTCCACGGAAGACTCAAGATACGACCTGACACATCAGACTCAGACCCGGCTCATCACATCAGCATCCACATGTGAGAGGAGGGACCACAAACATAGAAGAAAGATCCCTCCTTGCACACACACATGTGGGAGAATACCACGGATGAAAGGAAGGAGGAGAAGCAAGACGAAGATGGAGGCAAGGGAGAAGACGCGAGTCGAAACCACTGCTGTCCAAAAACAGTCTCCCTGTCAAATGCCCAATCAATGCCTGCCCCCTGAAGAAGGAGGAGGAGGAGGAGGAGGAGGAGAAGATATTTATTCAGTTAATTCTATATTCAGTTATTAACTTATTCTTGATATTGAAACGGTATTCACCAATTCGCAGTGGCTGATGCAGATCCCAGGGCTCGATTCCTAGTCCCCACCTTACCTGTGTACAGTATCTGTGTCTACCCCTAGAGTTGAATCCGCGACCTGTGTATTTGTAACAGTTGGTAGGTTCTCGTAGGGTCCATAGGTAGCAGGGATTCGATCTGTAGACCTGTCGAGTAGGAGTCCCAGTCAGGTCTAGAAGTCGTAGCTGTAGCCTTCTCGAAGAGTCAAGGTCGTAGCTGCTACAGTACCGAAAGGTCAAGGTCGTAGCTGCTACAGTACCGAAAGGCCAAGTCTACGGCCTTCTGGGAGGTCCGAGTAGTGGCCTTTCGGAGTTTCCCACTGTTAGGCTGAGGCAAGTGGGCAAGTGGTGAGGCAAGTGGTGTCCACCCGTGCTGAGTCAGCTGTCCCAGTCCTAGGCAGTCCTGGTCCAGTCAAGCAAGTACCCCATGGGACAGTGTGAACTTCCGGCATGGGAAAGGGCCAGACCAACGAGCTGCAGAAGTATAAATCAAGAGGCAGCGCCCAGTCATTCATCTCATTCCTGCATGAGCCATGCGGAAGCGCTGCCACAAGCGACTTGTGCAGGGAGGTCTGCAGTGAGCCCGAGGAAGAAGTGGGCGAGAGAGAAGGAGTGTAGCCATAGCGATAGGGTAGTAGCGGCCATAGCCGCCAAAGCTGTAGGTAGAGTGCAGTGTGAGTGTGTGTGTGTGTTCTGACTATCGCATGTGGGATATCCAGGGTGATCCTGTGTATGCGAACAGTGAGTTGTGTGGGCGCTGAGTCGCCATAGCCATCGAAGCGAACTTGAATCTGAACTGTGTTCTCGATTACCATGTCTCTGAGTTCTGAGTGGGTGCTTGTCGCCAGTTTGCTGCGCACCTGTTTGCATGCGTGAGAAGTGTGGATGAGAGCAAGTCTGATTGCATTGGTATCGGAGCTGGTACCCGCTATTCCACACGCAGCGTTGTGTGTCGCAGGGAGAGTGATGTGCCATAGCCGAAGTGGCTGACGAAGAAGAAGTCCGCCATAGCCGACACCGAGGTTGAAGAAGCCGCTGCGCGCACCTGCAGAGAAGACCACGACGAAGGGGAGAGAGAGAGAGAGAGAGAGAGAGAGAGAGAGAGAGAGAGAGAGAGAGAGAGAGAGAGAGAGAGAGAGAGAGAGAGAGATGAGCAATACAAGTTTGGTTGTCACTTACCTGTGAAGTGTGTCGTGCAGTTCCATGAAGTGAGAGGCGGCCATAGCCTCGGAGCTCGAGCACAGAGAACGAAGGAGGTTGAAAGAGAAGGCGGAGGAGGAGACTGAGGAAGGTGAAAGGAAGCCATAGCCGAGGAGGCGAAGGGAGAGACGATCAAAAAAAAAAAAAAAAGAGAAAGAAGACAGCAGGGTTGAAGAGAAAGGAGGCGAGGTAGGGAGAAGGAAGGAGAAGGGTGGTGAGGAAGGAGAAGTCGGACGCCATAGCCGGAGTTGACCGGAGGTGTTGATCGGGCGTTGACCGGGGTTGACCGGGGGTTGACTGAAGCGTTGACCAAGGCGTTGACCAAGACCGTTGACCACGAGTTTGACCAAGCTGGAGCCGGTATAATCTCGCCAAGCCTTCAGCCTATCCCCTCGCCCTATGGATGTGCACACACCCTGTGGTACTCGCTGAGTCAAGTCTGTCTGTCTCTTCTTTCTGCATTGAGTCTCTTCTGTCCAGGTGTTAGGAACTCTGTGGATGAAGGATAGGGCCTTGTTGACCAAACCCACACGGGCTCAGTAGGGCTAAAGACTGTGTCTAACGACCCCTCCCAAGGACCGGTACTGACCGGCGGGCTGCTCGACGTGGCACGGTAGGCCCAAAATCCGAGTTGTGGGCAGCACAACAGGCCGTCTAAGTGTTGAGAAGACCTGCTGATCGCGTCGTCCTGTCTGTGACGTTAAAGAATTCCTGAGTTACGGGGGATCTCCTTAAATGCCTCCTGATCAACAGGTCTTGTAGTGACAGCCTTAGAGTAGGTCAAGGCTAGTGACCATAGTTGACAGGATCCTGTCCGGATTCTGTAAGTCTTTAGATTGAGTCAGTAGGTGAGTCAGTCAGGGGGAGTAGAGTCTAAGTGGTGAGGAGTGGAACCGATTGTCTGGTTGTGCACCTTCCACCATGGTTGACACCCATACTGGGAAGAGTACTGCCCCCTCCGAGACCGAGCAGGCCCGGATTGCCACCCTTTTGAGAGAGAAGAAAGAGAAGAAGGAGCTCCTGAAGCAGGCAAAGTTAAAGGCCATTGAGGAGGAGCAAGCGGCAAAGAAGAAGAGATTGGAGGAGGAGATGTTGAGATTTCAAAAGGAGAAGCTGATGTTGCTAGAGAGAGAGAAGGAAGAGAGGAGGAAGGCTGCCGAGGAAGAAGCAGCAGCAGAAGAGGAAGAAGAAGAAGAAGAAGAAGAGCCCCTTGAAAGAAGACGCGGAGAAGAGAGAGGGGAAGCAAGTGGCACGAAGGAGGACAGATGGAGGGAGAAGAAGATAAGTGAATGGGTGGCTAATTTATCCTTGGGAGAAGATGAAGAGGCACATTTATATGTGCCGCAGGAGGAGAGGGAGGCGTTTGCCAGGGCATCGGAGTTAATAGAAGATCCCCTGGAATGCCAGGCGAAAGAAGATGAGAAGAAGTTGGAGTGGAAGCTGAAGATGATGAGGGAAAAGAAGAGAAGGAGGGAGGAAGCCAGCAGAATAGCCGGGGAGGTTGAGCGAGTGCGAACCAGCAAGCAAGAATTGCAGGCCCAAACGGAAGTCTCTGCCAAATAAGATGATAGGCTTCCTGGAGGTCTTGAGTGAGGCCTGGCTAGAGGAGCATCAGGCCCGCAATGGTCAAGAAGTGACTCTACAAGCAATGCGATCCGGTTTTAGGGAATTTGCGAGCGACGTGGTGGGCCACGTTGGGGCCGAGGTTAGAAGACTAAGGGATGGCGTAGACAAGTTCTACGCTGGCGTCATCGAGACCGCCAAAGTTGTGGCCACAACAGAGGCCACGGCGCGTCCCCGCAAAGAGGTAGTTAAGCTGAAGTTCCCTGACCCATATAGCGGGAAGAAAGAGGAAAACTTCGATAACTGGGAGGCTAGTATAAACACGAGTTTTTTCTTACAACATACCGCCCCCAAGGAACAAGTCCTCGTTGCCTTCCATGCTTTAAAAGACGAAGCAGCCAGCTTCGCCAGGTCCCTCGCACGTGCCGCAGATTGCGAGCACAACATGATCGCATACTCTAGGCTTACCCCCCTCGCCACTTTTCTCAAACTCCTGCGCGAGAGGTTTGCTGACGTCACCAGAGGCGTCAGGGCCTCTGATAAGCTCCAAACCATCCATTCGCGACAGCGGAGGAGTGCGAGAGCACTCAAAGCTGTCATGGACGACTTGGTAGCCGTCCCCGACCACGGGGTCACTGAGACCCAGTTGGTTCAGTTGTTTTATCGTGTCATGCCAAAGCCCTTACGAGGGCACTTTTTTGACAAGACCCAACAGCCCAACATCACATACGATGCATTGAGTAGGGAAGAGGTCTTGTTTGAGGCCAAGTCCATGCCAGTTTCCACTTTCTGGCACAAGGACTTAGACAAGGGCAGAAAGTGGAAAGGTCGTACCATCTCCGGCCAAGTGAGGGCCAAGGATCATATGATCCTTACATTGGAAGAAGGTGGTACCGACGAGGTCCCGTACAGTCAGATTGAGTGGGGGCTCGAGGAGGAGGACAGCAACGTGGGTCAGAGGAGGTCCTATGCGGCTGTTGCGGCTGGAGGGAGGCCGCAAGGTAGAGGAGGAGGCCAGGGCCAAAGGGGCCAGGCCATGGGGGGCCGAGGATCGGGCGCACAGGGGGTTGGCGGTCAAGGGAACCGTCAAGTGGGAGGTAGGGGTCAAGGTCCCCCGCCGAATCGTCAAGGTCCCAGTCGGTCCCCACAGCGACGAGGTGGCAGGTCACCTCAAAGGTCAAGAGGTTGGCACCCGGGCTGGCCACAAGGCCCGGCCTTGGGAACATCTGGGCCTGGACCAGAAAGTGTGGCAGCAGTGGATGGAGCAGGGGCAATGCATTTATTGTGGTGACCCTGCCCATATCATAAAATATTGTCCTAAGTATAGACAGGCCCGTTGGGCTGCCCAAGAATCAAAAGGCAGCCGCCGGTAGGGGTCGCAACTGCCCCTACTATTAGGCCATGTGGGGAAGCGAGCGCGCGCGTACAGGAAACTCCCACACCACATGAGCATTCGGCAGAGGTTGCAGACCCGTGCCTAGTTAGCTGTCCAGAGACTGCTTGTGTCAACGTCTCTCTAGGCACGTCCCTCACAGGCGTGGCAGAAGAGTTAAAAGAGAGGATGTCAGCCTGGGCCAAAATGAAGAAAGACAGTAAAGGGCAGCTAGTGTTAGTGGATGTAGAAATGTTCAGGAGTAGACCACAAGCGGTTAACAAGGACCCCCACTTCTCGGCCCCGAGTAACCATGAATGATCCTGAAATTAGGGTTTCGGGGTCAAATTTTATGTTTTTTTGGCTGTTTTTTCTTTGGCTGTTTTTGTTTTTGGAAAAGCTTGCTGTGTGCCAAATTTGGTGTCATTAGGGTTATTAGAATTTGTGCTGTTGATCATCCTGAAAATCCTAAAATCTCAATGATTTTTTTTTTGGCAAAATTGCCTGAAAATGCACTTTTGAGGTGCTGTTTTATGTGTTTATAATTTTTTTTTTTTTGGGGGGTTTTTTATAATATGTTAGTAAGAAGTGCACTCTATACATTGGTGCGGAGTTTGCTTGAAATGGCCTTATGGTTTTGGGGGGTCGGTTAACCGGCTCTCGAGTAGGGGCCCTTATAGATTCAGGGGCCACCCGCAGTTACATTAGCCGTAGAGCGCTGAAAAAGTTGAGGCTAGGATTGAAAGTCCAAAAGTTATCAGACCCCATAGTTTGTGTCCTCGCGGACAACCGCACTATGCGTGTTGAGGACTACGCAGAGGGAGTCCAGGCGTACTTTCGCCTAGAGAAAGATGGGAAGGTGGATAAAGTTCTCCATTCCCTAACTCTCCTCGTACAAGATGACCTTCCGTTTGACATAGTCCTAGGCATGGACTGGGGAGAGGCAGCAGGGGGCACACTCCACTTGAGAGAGCATGAGTGTAGGCTCCCTAGTCCGTCAGGCGAGGTTAAGACCGCCCGTCTGTTCCATGTTTCCGGAGATGATAACTCCTTGCCACATTGCTGCCTCAGTGCTCCCGCGTTCGCGCAACTAGTGAGAAAGGAGCAATTAGAGGATCAGGTCTTTGTAGTGTATGTAAGGTCTGTCACTGAGACGAATGAAGAGGACAGTTCCACAGATCCAGCCATTGCCAAGCTGCTGGAAGAGTTTACAGATCTCTCAGAGCCGCCGACAGGAGTAGTGTCGCGGCTGATCCAGCACAGGATAGAGATAGAGCCTGGCAGTAGAACTCCTAAGGGAGCAGTTTACAGGATGTCCCCAAGAGAGTTAGAGGAGCTGCACAAGCAATTGGACGAGCTCCTGGAGAAAGGTTGGATTAGACCCAGTTCGTTTCCTTTTGGAGCACCAGTACTATTTGTCCCCAAGAAGGAAGGAGAGTTGCGTATGTGCATAGACTATAGGGGTCTGAATGCTATCACAATCAAAAATGCTGAACCACTGCCCAGGATAGACGATCTCTTAGATCGAGTGCAGGGTTGCAAGTATTTCTCAAAGAGAGACTTGAAGTCCGATTATCATCAGATAGAAGTCCATCCTGATGACCAGTACAAGACTGCCTTCCGGACTAGATATGGGCATTATGAGTTCATAGGGATGCCCTTTGGACTGACCAATGCGCCATCAACATTTCAGCGATGTATGAACGATCTGTTTAGGCCTTGGTTAGATAGATTCGTCGTAGTATATCTAGACGACATCTTAGTTTTCAGTAGGACCCTCCAAGAGCACCAGCGTCATTTGAGACAGGTCTTGGAGAAGCTGAGAGAAGCGAACTTCAAGATCAACGCGAAGAAGTGTGAGTGGGCCAAGACACAAGTCTTGTACTTGGGCCACGTATTAGACGGAGATGGCATTAAGCCTGAGGACAGTAAGATAGCGGCGATTAGAGATTGGCCGACACCCCGCACATTGACTGAGTTGCGGTCGTTCTTAGGTTTGGATAACTATTATAGGAAGTTCATAAGAAACTTCTCCACCATCGCCGCTCCCCTTCGCAGATTGCTCAAGAAAGAGGCACTCTGGCAGTGGGATAAGGATTGTACGTCAGCGCTAAAGAAGTTAAAGCGCGCGTTGATAGAAGACCTTGTCCTCAAAGTAGCAGATCCGTCCTTGCCATTTGTCGTCACCAGGGACGCGAGTCAGTATGGTATAGGCGCCGTGTTACAGCAAGCTGACGGCAATGGCTATAGACCCGTAGAGTTCATGTCAGCGAGGATGCCCTCAGAAAAGGTTGCTACCTCGACGTACGAGAGAGAACTCTACGCTCTTAGGCAGGCTTTAGAGCACTAGAAGCATTACCTGCTTGGGAGGCACTTCAAAGTGTATTCAAACCACGAGACTCTTAGATGGTTGATGACACAAACCAAGATGACACCTAAGTTGACTAGATGGGCCGCTGAGATAAACCAGTATGACTTCGAGCTCAAACCTGTGAAGGGCAAGTACAATGTAGTTGCAGATGCTCTGAGTAGGAGGTCAGACTACTTTGGAGCCATAGTTCACTATCTGGATATAGGGAGTGACCTGCAGGAGAAAGTTAGACAGGCGTATGCACAGGACCCTATCTATAGTGACCTCCTCAAGAAGGTTAAGGAGGCCCCGGAGACTGAGCCAGATTACCGCACTACAGAGGGGTTATTATTTGAAAAGACTAACGTAGTAGACCGCCTATGCGTTCCCAACAGTGAGGAGATCCGTAGTTTGATCCTAGGGGAATGCCATGATACAGAGGGACACTTTGGTTGGCAAAAGACTTTCTGATGCACGCGTACACATGACCAGGAATGAAGAACGGCGGCATAGAGTATGTCCGCAGTTGGGAACAAGACTACTACGCGTGCCCCTCTAGGTCTTCTCAGACCATTGCCTATTCCAAACCAGCCTGGAGATTAAGTCTCCATTGACTTCATGGATGCCGGTGTCAAGAGTAGACACGGCAAGAGCCAAGTCATGGTCGTAGTTGATAGATTTAGCACGTATGCTATTTTTGTTCCCTTGCCTGCAGAGGCACGTACAGAGTTAGTAATCCAGAAGTTCTTTGATTTTTGGGTTAGCGAGCATGGCCTCCCTTTGTCTATTGTTAGTGATAGAGACACCCGCTTCACTAGCCAGAACTGGCAGGAACTAATGAGAGTCTATGGATCTAAGTTGTTGATGTCGTCTAGCCGCCATCCCGAGACTAACGGTCAGACCGAGCAGATGAACAAGATCCTGCAGCAAGTTTTGCGCATGTACATTAGACCCGATCAGATTAGCTGGGACGAGATGTTACCCGAGGTAGCCAGTGCATACAATAACAGCGTGCATTTGTCCACCTGTCGCACCCCCAACAAGTTGCACAAGTCCTTTAGACCACGTAGACCGTTTGAGGGACTTAACCGGGATCAGATTCACAGGCTACCGCCCGGTACCAGGGAGTTCGAGATACAGCATGAAAAAGAGATGGCCACTGTCGTTGAAAACCTCGGGGAGGCCCAACACCGGATGATAGAACATGCTAATAAGCACCGTCGCCCATCGCAGTTTCAGGTAGGCGATTTGGTCTGGGTCAAGTCTAAAGAGTTTGCGCCTGAGGAAAACATCTCGCAAAAGTTACTGCCCGCATATAGAGGACTGTGACCAGTTCTAAAAGTTAAGGGCAGAGAGGATGGACCGTCCTATACTATAGAGATCCCAGCACACCTCCACACCTACCCTGCGTTTCACGCATCAAAGTTGCTGCCGTGTGTCACCAGTCAACAGTTTCCATCTAGACGGTCCATGATTCCTCCAGACATGGACGGCATATATGACATTGACGGCATTGCAGGTGAAGATGTGTTCAGAACAGGAGATAGAGGTCGTCCACAGAAACAGTATAAGGTCCGGTTTGCTTATTAGGAGCCGGAGGATGACCGCTGGTTCACTAGAGCAGAACTTCTAGAGACGGCTCCCGATATAGTTAGAGCCTACGAAAGAGATCAGAGAGGTAAAGGTCCTGCCTTGGGCTGAGTTATTCTCGGAGGACCTCGAATTTAGGCCGGCGGGAGTGAAACGGTATTCACCAATTCGCGGTAGCTGATGCAGATCCCAGGGCTCAATTCCTAGTCCCCACCTTACCTGTGTACACTATTTGTGTCGAGCCATAGAGTTGAACCCGCGACCTGTGTATTTGTAACCGTTGGTAGGTTCTCGTAGGGTCCATAGGTAGCAGGGATTCGATCTGTAGACCTGTCGAGTAGGAGTCCCAATCAGGTCTAGAAGTCGTAGTTGTAGCCTTCTCAAAGAGTCAAGGTCGTAGCTGCTACATTACCAGAAGGCCAAGTCTACGGACTTCCGGAAGGTCCGAGTAGTGGCCTTTCGGAGTTTCCCACTGTTAGGCTGAGGCAAGTGGGCAAGTGGTGGAGTCTACCCGTGCTGAGTCAGCAGTCCCAGTCCTAGGCAGTCCTGGTCCAGTCAAGCAAAGTACCGCATGGGACTGTGTGCACTTCGAGCATGGGAAAGGGCCAGACCAACGAGCTGCAAAAGTATAAATCAAGAGGCAGCGCCCAGTCGTTCATTTGATTCCTGCGGGAGCCATGCGGAAGAGCTGCCACAAGCGACTTGTGCAGGGAGCCCGAGAAAGAAGTGGGCGAGAGAGAAGGACCGTAGCCATAGCGATAGGGTTGTAGCGGCCATAGCCGTCAAAGCTGTAGGTAGAGTGCAGTGTGAGTGTGTGTGTGTGTGTTCTGAGTATCACGTGTGGGATATCCAGGGTCATCCTGTGTATGCGAACAGTGAGTTGTGTGGGCGTTGAGTCGCCATAGCCATCAAAGCGAACTTGAATCTGAACTGTGTTCTCGATTACCATATCTCTGAGTTCTGAGTGGGCACTTGTCGCCAGTTTGCTGCGCACCTGTTTGCATGCGTGAGGAGTGTGAATGAGAGCAAGTCTGATAGCATATAATAAAAATAGGAATATAGTCCATAAAGAAGAATATATATTCTCAAAGTATCAAATTATTGAATAGAACATGCATTCTTGAATTAAGTCAAGTTCTTAAGAAGAAGTCGAGGAGGAAGAGGAAGAGGAAGAAGAGGAAGGAGGAAGAGGAAGAAGAAGAAGAAGAGGAAGAGGAAGAGCAAGAAGAAGAGGAAGAGGAAGAGGAGGAAGAGGAGGAGGAAGAGGGGGAGGAGGAGGGGGAGGAGGAAGAGGAGGAAGAGGAGGAAGAGGAGGAAGAGGAGGAAGAGGAGGAAGAAGAGGAGGAGGAAGAGGAGGAGGAAGAAGAGGAGGAGGAATCAGAATATCATCGAGATATATTACGACAAATTTATCAAGCCATTCACAAAAATGTTCATTCATAGTTCTTTGGAAAGTTGCAGGGGCATTCGTAAGCCCGAAGGGCAACACAATGAACTCATAGTGCCCATACCTTGTTCGAAAGGCAGTCTTGTATTGGTCTTTTGGCTCTACCTCAATCTGATGGTAGCCAGACTTCAAATCAATCTTAGTGAAGTACTTGCTACCTTGCACTCTATCCAACAAATCGTCGCTCAGCATTCTTAACTATTATATCGTTCAATCTTCTATAATTTATGCACATGCGGACCCCGCCATTTTTCTTTGGTACAAGAAGTACTGGCGCACCATAGGGCGAGGAGTTGGGCCTTATCCATCCCTTTTCCAATATTTCATTAAGCTGGGTTCGCAGCTCGTCTAATTCTTTGGGTGACATTCGGTATATAGGCCCCTTAGGAATCTGACTTCCTGGTACAATCTCAATGCGATGTTTGATAGGTCTCTCAATTACACCGCTTGGGGCCTCTGCCACATCTGCGAATTCTTTTAGAATCTTTTCAACCTCTGGGGTTTGACCTCTTCTTTAGCTTCACCCTCCTTCACTGGGCGCACATATGCAACAAAAACTTGATCATATAAGTTATACTTTTTCACATGGCGGGCGAACGCGGGGCACTTATACAACAATGAGCCAAGCTGCTGTCTTTACCAGATTCATGGAATAGGCGGATTTTCTTCTTTCCACCCTGCGGACTTGGGAGCCAACACTCATGATCCCTTAACTTTATATCCGCATTTGCAGCTTTCCCCCAATCCATGCCTAAGAGAATGTCAAAAGGGAGATTATCTTCCACCAAGAGAGTCAGAGAGTGGAGAATGCGTTCCACCTTCCCCTCTGCTTTGAGTCGGAAGTATATCTGGACCCCTTCAACATATCTATCCATCACACTTATAGTACTATTAGCTAGCTTACTCATTACGGGCTCATCTAACTGTTTAACCTTTAGCCCGAGTCGCAACTTTTGCAATCCTTTCTTACTGATATAGCTGCGCGTTGACCCACTGTCAATCATTCCTCCAACTCTTACTTTATTTATCTCTAGATCTGCAATTATTAACTGTCCTCTTCGTTTCTTCATTTCGGTCCAAATCTCTTCCCTCATTGCGTGCTTGTACGCAAGCTTCCAAAGCTACTCGGTTAGCTACAGCTCCTGGAGCATTTCCCCAAGGATGGCCTAAAGTACCTCCTCCAAATTGTATATATTAAATTTCTGCTTTTCATAAACGTTGATACAGTTTTGTTGATTTCTTGATTACTATTATCTACAAATATTTCCGTATTGTAACATTGAACCTCTGGACAGTGTACTAGGTGGGGAGTGTCTGTCTTTTCAGTTTCTGCACGAGGAACCTTCGGATGGGAGGATGTCTTTCTGCTTACATCCGAAGTTCCGATAGAGGCAACTGAAACCTCTACTGGTTGTTCCCTTTTGGTTGTTTGTAGTCGGGACAGAAGGGAATGATGTGGTTGGGGTCACCACATTTGAGGCATTGATCGACGACCTTTCTATCCTGCCAACCTTTCTCTGTAATCCCCAATTTCTTCCAAGGCTCCCCTTCGGGCAAACCTGGATGGGGTGGATATGGTTTGTCCCATGTACCATACCATGCGCCTCTTCCTCTTCCCCAGGTAGAATACGAACCACGGCCACCTTGCGAGGGACCATTGCCCCTTCCACCCACACAGTAGCTACCTTCGCCACCACCCCTCTGGGTACCGGGTCCTCTTCCACCACGTCCGCGGCCTCCTCTTCCTCGGACACGTCCTCTTCCTTGTCGCCCTCCCCCGCGGGCTGCAACGGCCGCGTAGTCCCCTCCTAAACTACCGAACCGTTGGGTCCTCCCTCCAGACCATAATCTATCTGGTCGTAAGAGAGAGTTTCGACACCTCCTTCTTCAAAGGTAAGAAGGAGATTGTATTTCCCCGGTATGTTCCTTGAGATGGTGTTGCCATTTCTTACCCGCTTGCAGATCTTTCCAATAATGGCAATAATTAGCCTCGGCTAAAAAGCCAGCATGATCTATAGCGATCTTGTTGAACTTCTCGTATGTCATCCCCTCTTCCTTTGTGCGGGGATAAAGCTGAGTACGGAGAGGGTCGAGTAGTGCCCTAGCGAAGTTATTGAGGATTTGAGTAGGAGTAAAACCATGTTCAGCGCATTGTAACAGTTCATGCATCGTTGCTTTGAGTGCAGATGCACTCTTCCATTTCCGATCCGCAATATTTAAGATCAACATTTCTGTTCGGCGAGCCAGATTTTTATCTTCAAATCGTTCTCTAACAGCCTTAAAGAAGTCTTCGATTCTTGTTTGCTGTGAATATTCGATCATAGTCTGGCAATTAGCTTCTTTTTGCAACGATATGGCGAAGCTCATCGCATCGCCGACCATACATGAAGTGGCCATCAAGACTTTGTCCCAATACGGGATGCGCTATCCGTATACACATGATTCCACAGCAGCAATCCAATGCAAAACACTCTCCTCCTTTTTGCCGGTGTAGGTCCATGACACCTTAACTTTAATTTTTCTGATATCTCCACTGTCTTCTCGCAACACTACCTTTCCTTTCTTGTCACCATCTCCCCCATCTCCGTCTCCATCTCCTCCTCGTCCGCCGCTGCCATAAATTATCTTTTCAATCTCAGCGGGAGTAAAGGTTTGGTTGATGTGATCTTTTTATTTCTGAATATATGATTGTATATGATGATCAACATCTTTGGCGGACTTTGGCAGGAAGGTGTTCTAGACTTCCGTTTCAACTCTTTGCAACGTTATGTTCATTGCTTCTAGCTCTTGCTTTGTATGCAGAACTGTTTCTGTCAAGAGGGCTAGTTTTTCTTTTGTTGCAACTTGTTTATCTTTTTGGTCTTGCAGTTCTCTTTGTAGCCTTGCACCCTCTGTTTGCAGCCTTTTTCTTTCGTCAAGCTCTTGCCGTTTCGCTGCATGATAGACTTTGTATTCCAAATGTGGAAGAGATCAAAAGTCTGATCTTGGGGGAAGGCCATTTCGGGTGGAAAAAGACTTATGCAAATCTATTACGTTCTTATACGTGGCCTCGCATGAAACCCGATTGCATTACATATGTGCAAGGTTGTCAAGTATGCCAGAGAAATCAAAGCACTACTCAGCCTCCCCTCGGTCTATTGAAACCTTTGCCAATCCCAACAGGTCCAGGAGACTTTGTGTCCATTGACTTCATGGACACTAAGGTGAAGAGCGGGAATGGGAAAACGCAAGTGATGGTTATCGTTGACAAGTTTAGTAAATATGTTGTCCTCGTAGCATTGCCAACAGAAGCAAAAACGGAATTGGTAATCCGGGAATTCTTCAACCACTGGGTGAAGGATTATGGACATCCCTTGACGATTGTGAGTGACAGAGATTCGCAATTCACAAGTGAACAATGGCAGCAACTAATGAACATTTATGGCTCTAAGTTGACTATGTCGTCAGGATGACACCCTGAGACAAATGGCAAGACTGAGCAAATGAACAAGATTTTGCAGCAGACGCCGCACATGTACATACGTCCCAACCAGGTTGATTGGGACGAGCATTTGCCCAAAGTTGCTAGTGCCTATAATAACTTTGTTACCTGTCTACATGCAAGACTCCTATGGAGTTGCATTTGGGACGGCGTCCGCACAGACCTATCGATCGCTTGAACACGGATCAAGTGCATAAGCTTCCATTAGGAACAAGTGAATTTGCGATACAATATCGGAAAGATATTGAGACTACCCGCCTACAGAGGACCTTGGCAAGTTTTAAATGTGATTGGAGATGTGGATGGACCTTCTTATGTGATTGAGATTCTTCTGCATTTACATACATATCCAATGTTTCACGCCTCAAAGCTCTTACCTTGCGTGACAAATGAGTTATTTCCCAGTCGCAGATCGGCGATACCTCCTAGTATGGATGGGAAATATGATGTGGATAAGATTGTTGCTGAAAGTACTCTTCAGACTGGATGTAGCGGCAGACCACACAACAATATAAAGTAAGATTTGCATATCAAGACCCCAGTGAAGATCACTGGTTCACAAGAGAAGAATTGATTGAGTTTGCACCTCATATTGTGTCTACTTACAAAAGAGCCAGAAAGTGAATAAGCATTATAGATAGATGAAGGTTTATCTCAGAGGACTTTGAAACTAGGCCGGCGAGAGTAAAAGAGCCTTTACCCAATTCAGCCCCTGAATGGCGAACGCAGCATTATGGGGTCGCTCGGCCAGAGCCTAACTCGTGAAAAGCATATCAAAAGACATGTTCTCTGGGTCAAAAGTCCCATCCTAACTAAAGGTCACAGTTGTGCCCCTAGACAAAACGTTGCAGTATTCAATTGTGGGAGTCACATCTGTTCATCCAGGGGGTGTGCAAGTCATGTCTGCTCGTACAGGAGATGTGTCTGCTCGTACAGGAGATGTGTCTGTTCGTGCAGTAAGTGTGTCTGTCGAACAGTAGGTGTGTCTGTTCATAAAGAAGTCAAAGAGATAAGGTCCCAGTCCAAATTCAAGTCAAAGGAAAAGTCTAGATACAGATTGGAAGTCCGAAATTCAGGCCTGAAGGCCGCAGCAGCAGCAGACCTTGAGGATAAGGAACAAGGACACACTCCACAGAGGCCTGGGACTGGGAAAGGACCTGCAAAGGCAGGCCAGCACTATAAGAAACGAGGCAGCCTCCCCACAAGGCAGATTGTCCATTGGCATTGATGCGTGGAAGTGTTGAGGCACTTGTGCGCTATAGTGGGCACTTGTGCACTATAGTGCAGGGGAAGAGCGCTGGCTTGAGAGCTGCGCCAGAAGGAAGAAGTGCTGGGCGCTGGCTGCAGAAGAGGCCATAGCTGCGCCAGCTTGTGTTAGTAGTACTAGAAGGGTTAGTAGTAGGATATCAGTGAGTAGCATTCAAAGTAAATTCTCGTAGATAGGGAGTGTGCATGCATGTTGAGACGAGGGAACTAGGACATAGATCTTGAGAGAGAAGAGAGGGAGAGAGAAGACAGGTTATGAAGTTGGATATGGTGGATACTTACCTGTTGGCGTCATACTTGTGATCTGAGGGGAGACGCTGGCTGAGCCAGGCCCTTTGTTGACGAATGCTGTTTGGCGCTGGATTCTTGAACTCGTACTCTTTGTATAATGTGACTTTGATAGT